ATATGGTGCAAAACATTTCTTCAACCAAAATATTTCTCACAGTTTTAATTTTCCTAAGTTCCTAATCTCCGTTGAGATGGTCGTAGAATATGGTGTAATACACTTCTTCAACCAAGATAAATCTCACAGTTTTAATTTTCCTAAGTTCCCAATCTCCGTTGAGATGGTCGTAGAGTATGGTGTAATTCACTTCTTCAACCAAAATATTTCTCACAGTTTTAATTTTCCTAAGCTCCTAATCTCCGTTAAGATAGTCGTAGTATATGGTGTAATACACTCCTTCAACCAAAATTTTTCTCACAGTTTTAATTTTCCTAAGTTCCTAATATCCATTCAAATTGTCGTAGTAAATGGTGTAATAAACTTCTTCAACCAAAATAAATCTCACAGTTTTAATTTTCCTAAGTTAAGTTTCTAACCTCCGTTGAGATGGTCGTATTATATGGTGTAATACACTCCTTCAACCAAAAATTTTCTCACAGTTTTAATTTTCCTAAATTCCTAATCTCCGTTGAGATGGTCGTAGTATATGGTGCAAAACATTTCTTCAACCAAAATATTTCTCACAGTTTTAATTTTCCTAAGTTCCTAATCTCCGTTGAGATGGTCGTAGAATATGGTGTAATACACTTCTTCAACCAAGATAAATCTCACAGTTTTAATTTTCCTAAGTTCCCAATCTCCGTTGAGATGGTCGTAGAATATGGTGTAATTCACTTCTTCAACCAAAATATTTCTCACAGTTTTAATTTTCCTAAGCTCCTAATCTCCGTTAAGATAGTCGTAGTATATGGTGTAATACACTCCTTCAACCAAAATTTTCCTCACAGTTTCAATTTTCCTAAGTTCCTAATATCCATTCAAATTGTCGTAGTAAATGGTGTAATAAACTTCTTCAACCAAAATAAATCTCACAGTTTTAATTTTCCTAAGTTAAGTTTCTAATCTCCGTTGAGATGGTCGTAGTATATGGTGTAATACATTTCTTCAACCAAAATATTTCTCACAGTTTTAATTTTCCTAAGCTCCTAATCTCCGTTGAGATGGTCGTAGTATATGGTGTAATACACTCCTTCAACCAAAATTTTTCTCACAGTTTTAATTTTCCTAAGTTCCTAATATCCATTCAAATGGTCGTAGTAAATGGTGTAATAAACTTCTTCAACCAAAATAAATCTCACATTTTTAATTTTCCTAAGTTCCCAATCTCCGTTGAGATGGTCGTAGAATATGGTGTAATTCACTTCTTCAACCAAAATATTTCTCACAGTTTTAATTTTCCTAAGCTCCTAATCTCCGTTAAGATAGTCGTAGTATATGGTGTAATACACTCCTTCAACCAAAATATTTCTCACAGTTTTAATTTTCCTAAGTTCCTAATATCCATTCAAATTGTCGTAGTAAATGGTGTAATAAACTTCTTCAACCAAAATAAATCTCACAGTTTTAAGTTTCCTAAGTTAAGTTTCTAATCTCCGTTGAGATGGTCGTAGTATATGGTGTAATAAATTTCTTCAACCAAAATATTTCTCACAGTTTTAATTTTCCTAAGCTCCTAATCTCCGTTGAGATGGTCGTAGTATATGGTGTAATACACTCCTTCAACCAAAATTTTTCTCACAGTTTTAATTTTCCTAAGTTCCTAATATCCATTCAAATGGTCGTAGTAAATGGTGTAATAAACTTCTTCAACCAAAATAAATCTCACATTTTTAATTTTCCTAAGTTTCTAATCCCCGTTGAGATGGTCGTAGTATATGGTGCAATACATTTCTTCAACCAAAATATTTCTCACAGTTTTAATTTTCCTAAGTTCCTAACCTCCGTTGAGATGGTCGTAGAATATGGTGTAATAAACTTCTTCAACCAAAATAATTCTCACAGTTTTAATTTTCCTAAGCTCCTAACCTCCGTTGAGATGGTCGTATTATATGGTGTAATACACTCCTTCAACCAAAATTTTTCTCACAGTTTTAATTTTCCTAAATTCCTAATCTCCGTTGAGATGGTCGTAGAATATGGTGTAATACACTTCTTCAACCAAAATAAATCTCACAGTTTTAATTTTCCTAAGTTCCCAATCTCCGTTGAGATGGTCGTAGAGGTAACTTCCCAAATGGCATAATTCCCAAATGGCATAAAATGGAAACTTTTCCCAAATGGCATAAATTTCAAGTTTTCATTGTAATTTAAACGTTTTCTATCAATTTCTATTTCTATCATTTTGTCAGGAACGAAAGCATGTGAACAAGTTTTGGAATTAATTGCTTCCAAACAAATTTAAGCAACAGATTTGTCGAAAAAAATTGACCACAAGCAGCTTATTAATAATCGCAAGCTTATGCTTCTTGCTTTTGATAAAAAGTTCTACAAGTTTTTCACGATAAAATGTCAATCAACATTTGAATTGACAATTTGACTAATTTTCTCACATTGTTCACGAAAAAATTGTTCTCGATTTTTCCAAAGCAACTGTTGCATGAAAATTATGCCATTTGGGAAATTTTTCACTTTTATGCCATTTGGGAATTATGCCATTTGAGACGTAATCGTCGTAGAATATGGTGTAATACACTTCTTCAACCAAAATATTTCTCACAGTTTTAATTTTCCTAAGTTCTTAATCTCCGTTGAGATGGTCGTAGAATATGGTGTAATACACTTCTTCAACCAAAATAAATCTCACAGTTTTAATTTTCCTAAGTTCCCAATCTCCGTTGAGATGGTCGTAGAATATGGTGTAATACACTTCTTCAACCAAAATAAATCTCACAGTTTTAATTTTCCTAAGCTCCTAATCTCCGTTGAGATGGTCGTAGTATATGCAGTAATACACTCCTTCAACCAAAATATTTCTCACAGTTTTAATTTTCCTAAGTTCCTTATATCCATTCAGATGGTCGTAGTAAATGGTGTAATAAACTTCTTCAACCAAAACAAATCTCACAGTTTTAGTTTTCCTAAGTTTCTAATCTCCGTTGAGATGGTCGTAGTATATGGTGCAATACATTTCTTCAACCAAAATATTTCTCACAGTTTTAATTTTCCTAAGTTCCTAATCTCCGTTGAGATGGTCGTAGAATATGGTGTAATACACTTCTTCAACCAAGATAAATCTCACAGTTTTAATTTTCCTAAGTTCCCAATCTCCGTTGAGATGGTCGTACAATATGGTGTAATACACTTCTTCAACCAAAATATTTCTCACAGTTTTAATTTTCCTAAGCTCCTAATCTCCGTTAAGATAGTCGTAGTATATGGTGTAAAACACTCCTTCGACCAAAATGTTTCTCACAGTTTTAATTTTCCTAAGTTTCTAATATCCATTCAGATTGTCGTAGTAAATGTTGTAATAAACTTCTTCAACCAAAATAAATCTCACAGTTTTAATTTTCCTAAGTTTCTAATCTCCGTTGAGATGGTCGTAGTACATGGTGTAATACATTTCTTCAACCAAAATATTTCTCACAGTTTTAATTTTCCTAAGCTCCTAATCTCCGTTGAGATGGTCGTAGTATATGGTGTAATACACTCCTTCAACCAAAATATTTCTCACAGTTTTAATTTTCCTAAGTTCCTAATATCCATTCATATGGTCGTAGTAAATGGTGTAATAAACTTCTTCAACCAAAAGAAATCTCACATTTTTATTTTTCCTAAGTTTCTAATCTCCGTTGAGATGGTCGTAGTATATGGTGTAATACATTTCTTCAACCAAAATATTTCTCACAGTTTTAATTTTCCTAAGTTCCTAACCTCCGTTGAGATGGTCGTAGAATATGGTGTAATAAACTTCTTCAACCAAAATAATTCTCACAGTTTTAATTTTCCTAAGCTCCTAACCTCCGTTGAGATGGTCGTATTATATGGTGTAATACACTCCTTCGACCAAAATGTTTCTCACAGTTTTAATTTTCCTAAGTTTCTAATATCCATTCAAACTGTCGTAGTAAATGGTGTAATAAACTTCTTCAACCAAAATAAATCTCACAGTTTTAATTTTCCTATGTTTCTAATCTCCATTGAGATGGTCGTAGTATATGGTGTAATACATTTCTTCAACCAAAATATTTCTCACAGTTTTAATTTTCCTAAGTTCCTAACCTCCGTTGAGATGGTCGTAGAATATGGTGTAATACACTTCTTCAACCAAAATTTTTCGTACAGTTTTAATTTTCCTAAGTTCCTAATATCCATTCAGATGGTCGTAGTAAATGATGTAATAAACTTCTTCAACCAAAATAATTCTCACAGTTTTAATTTTCCTAAGCTCCTAATCTCCGTTGAGATGGTCGTAGTATATGGTGTAATACATTTCTTCAACCAAAATATTTCTCACAGTTTTAATTTTCCTAAGCTCCTAACCTCCGTTGAGATGGTCGTATTATATGGTGTAATACACTCCTTCAACCAAAATTCATGGCCCACTTGGCCACCTGTGTTAGCACTATGGCTCAAAAAAAAGGCAGGAAAACATCATTTTGACAGGCGCCTCTGAATTATGCCACCTGAGTTGCATAATTCATGGCCCACTTGGCCACCTGTGTTGCCACTATGGCTCAAAAAGAAAAATGGCAGGAAAACATCATTTTGGCAGGCGCCTCTGAAGTTGAATAATTCATGGCCCACTTGGCCACCTGTGTGGCCACTATGGCTCAAAAAGAAACATGGCAGGAAAACATCATTTTAGCAGGCGCCTCTGAAGTTGCATAATTCATGGCCCACTTGGCCACCTGTGTGGCCACTATGGCTCAAAAAGAAAAATGGCAGGAAAACATCATTTTAGCAGGCGCCTCTGAAGTTGCATAATTCATGGCCCACTTGGCCACCTGTGTTAGCACTATGGCTCAAAAAAAAGGCAGGAAAACATCATTTTGACAGGCGCCTCTGAAGTTGCATAATTCATGGCCCACTTGGCCACCTGTGTTGCCACTATGGCTCAAAAAGAAACATGGCAGGAAAACATCATTTTGGCAGGCGCCTCTGAAGTTGCATAATTCATGGCCCACTTGGCCACCTGTGTGGCCACTATGGCTCAAAAAGAAAAATGGCAGGAAAGCATCATTTTGACAGGCGCCTCTGAAGTTGCATAATTCATGGCCCACTTGGCCACCTGTGTTGCCACTATGGTTCAAAAAGAAAAATGGAAGGAAAACATCATTTTAGCAGGCGCCTCTGAAGTTGCATAATTCATGGCCCACTTGGCCACCTGTGTTAGCACTATGGCTCTAAAAAAAAGGCAGGAAAACATCATTTTGACAGGCGCCTCTGAAGTTGCATAATTCATGGCCCACTTGGCCACCTGTGTTGCCACTATGGTTCAAAAAGAAAAATGGAAGGAAAATATCATTTTGGCAGGCGCCTCTGAAGTTGCATAATTCATGGCCCACTTGGCCACCTGTGTTGCCACTATGTCTCAAAAAGAAAAATGGCAGGAAAACATCATTATGGCAGGCGCCTCTGAAGTTGCATAATTCATGGCCCACTTGGCCACCTGTGTTGCCACTATGGCTCAAAAAGAAAAATGGCAGGAAAACATCATTTTGGCAGGCGCCTCTGAAGTTGCATAATTCATGGCCCACTTGGCCACCTGTGTTGCCACTATGGCTCAAAAAGAAAAATGGCAGGAAAAAATCATTTTGGTAGGCGCCTCTGAAGTTGCATAATTCATGGCCCACTTGGCCACCTGTGTTGCCACTATGGCTCAAAAAGAAAAATGGCAGGAAAACATCATTTTGGCAGGCGCCTCTGAAGTTGCATAATTCATGGCCCACTTGGCCGCCTGTGTTGCCACTATGGCTCAAAAAGAAAAATGGCAGGAAAATATCATTTTGGCAGGCGCCTCTGAAGTTGCATAATTCATGGCCCACTTGGCCACCTGTGTTGCCACTATGTCTCAAAAGGAAAAATGGCAGGAAAACATCATTATGGCAGGCGCCTCTGAAGTTGCATAATTCATGGCCCACTTGGCCACCTGTGTTGCCACTATGGCTCAAAAAGAAAAATGGAAGGAAAACATCATTTTGGCAGGCGCCTCTGAAGTTGCATAATTCATGGCCCACTTGGCCACCTGTGTTGCCACTATGGCTCAAAAAGAAAATGGCAGGAAAACATCGTTATGGCAGGCGCCTCTGAAGTTGCATAATTCATGGCCCACTTGGTCACCTGTGTTGCCACTATGGCTCAAAAAGAAAAATGGCAGGAAAACATCATTTTGGCAGGCGCCTCTGAAGTTGCATAATTCATGGCCCACTTGGCCACCTGTGTTGCCACTATGGCTCAAAAAGAAAAATGGCAGGAAAATATCATTTTGGTAGGCGCCCCTGAAGTTGCATAATTCATGGCCCACTTGGCCACCTGTGTTGCCACTATGGCTCAAAAAGAAAAATGGCAGGAAAACATCATTTTGGCAGGCACCTCTGAAGTTGCATAATTCATGGCCCACTTGGCCACCTGTGTTGCCACTATGGCTCAAAAAGAAAATTGGCAGGAAAACATCATTATGGCAGGCGCCTCTGAAGTTGCATAATTCATGGCCCACTTGGCCACCTGTGTTGCCACTATGGCTCAAAAAGAAAAATGGTAGGAAAACATCATTTTGGCAGGCGCCTCTGAAGTTGCATAATTCATGGCCCACTTGGCCACCTGTGTTGCCACTATGGCTCAAAAAGAAAAATGGCAGGAAAATATCATTTTGGTAGGCGCCTCTGAAGTTGCATAATTCATGGCCCACTTGGCCACCTGTGTTGCCACTATGGCTCAATCACCATTTCATTTTTCATTGCACTTTTGCTGCGACATGTCAAAGCAAAAAAATGTTAAACTAAATCTTGAAGCAGTTGTGCGTTCAGCATTTAGAATAACTTGCCCCCCCCCCCACCTGCAGTGTTATAAAAAATTATTTTCGTTCATATTCTCCAATTGTTACTAAAATTGGTATGCGGACTAATTAGGCGATGACAAACATAGTTGGTAATCATACTTAACTTTGTAAACCCACCGTTGCACCATAAAATTGATGCTTATGAGATGTGGGGAAATCAAACAGAGCGGTAACTTGTTCTAGCTCATTGCAAGGTGTGAAGAGCAACTACCAAGTTAGCTTCTACGGAGGGTGCAGCTCACCTCTAGAGACTTGGTCGTCTCACCACACTACATGTTTGAGCTTGAAATCTTTTCTGTCCGAATTGAAAACAAAGTTACCAATTCTAAAGGAGACTTATGATTTTGATTCAGTGTTTTAAGCATTGTATCATTGTATCCAGAGGCCGACTTAGGGGGATGCTCTTCCCTCAGGGGCTTAAACCCCTCGCCGCATAAATGGTCCCACTGTTGATACTTTGGTAGATTCCAAAGTGTTCCAAAAATCGAACAAGACGGCATTTTTTGACCCGTATTTTCTTAAATTTTAAAACATACCCCATCGGCAAAATCGTAGATCGACCCCTTATTGTACCAAAAATTAAAAAAATAATAAAACTTGAGCTTTGTTGAATAAAAAATGATAAAAGTTCCACTGTGTCGCTTTGTTTTTTTTGGCCATGAACATGCCATGAGCGGATGAGCAAATTAGAATGAGAACTTAGATTTGTCAACTTAGAATGAAATTAGCGGATGAGAACTTGGATTTGTCAATTCAAAAACAAATTCTAAGGAGACATATGCAAACATTCAACTTTTTTTCTCGGAAAGCTTAAGCAAAAACCAAATCAATATCAATTTTTTCGTCATTCGAACCAGTTCTTGGGACGTCTATTCCTATATGATTATAAAACCTCTCCCGCCTTTTCCGTTTATACTCCTCAATCCGTTCACGTTCCTTCCTTTCATCGTCTACTGCGAATTCCCACCTCAGAACCGAGTTGTGCTCCTTCTTTCGCATTTCTTCTTCAAAATCACTCTTCGTGAAATTATTCTGGTTCGTCTCTTTTTGCACTCCGAATTTGCGATATTTACTGTCGGTAACTTCGCTCTGTAATTCTCCTTTCATAATTTGGTCGCCATTTACTTTCGCCTCCTGCTCGGCTAGTTTGGGCAAAGCGGAGAAGCTGTTTGTACATTTCAGCTTTTTCTTTGACTTTTTCTTTGGAGTGACAACTTGGTTTTCGGTTGAGCTTGAGGGTGATATGGACGTGTCTTTGAGTTTCTTGCTCAAGTTCCCATTCACTGTCGACTCCAATTGGCGCACTTAAAAACTCAACCACTCAATTTGGTTAATGTAAAAACTATTAAAAAAGGCTTTTCCAGCAACTTTGCCGTGAACAGATACTTTCAATTAGTTTTAACCGTTACTTTTAAACATCCTCACTAGCTCCAAAGTTATTCTTGCAATTCGTGATTGTTACGACGTCTATTTGAAAAACTATTCTGCGCCAACTTGTTTTTAGGGGGTTAGCTTGATGAAAAAACTGAGATTTTACTCAAAACATTCATGAATATTTTGAGAAAAGCCTTTCCGGTATACTTATCAAGATTTTACCGTCGTATTTACCGCCGACTTAGTTTTCCAGGTTTTCTTTTATTCCGTCGTATTAATCGGCCGTATTAACTTCGTACGACTCAATTATTACACTTGTTCTTTGATTTTGTTCAAATTTCATAGTTTTTGACAATTTTTTCCCAAAACCTATTCGATATGGGTTAAGGGAAGGCCGGAACATTCAGGACTTTGCCTTGATATACGAGCGAGCAGCCTTGTTAAGATCTAGAAACACTTCAAATTTACTTGCTGCTTTGCGACAATCAATTTTTAAGGTATTGAATTTTGAAAAAAAAAAGATCAACTAAGCTAGGCAACTTCTGTTTTTTTTTCGATAACCATTGGCAAAAAATACGCAGTCTCCTTAATTAAAAGGGCTGGGTAAATTTTATATCCTCAAATTGTAGTTTCGTCTTTCGATTTAAAACTTGGATGCAATTTTAGTTGGTTCCTCAATTTGCTGACTAAAATTTTTGAGTCTTTTCGAATTCATTACGAGGCTAAACTGTGCACTGGACAGGCGCACAATTTTGTATCTGTATATTCCTGGATTCCAGAGATAAGACTTTAAACATGTTAAAACTTTGTCGGAACGATCAAAGGAAAGTAAAAAACCAAACAAGAACAAAGGGAGCGTCCTTGTTGCGGAATGCACAGTTTGGCCTCGTAATAATCTTTTTAAGAGTTCTAGATGTTTTTGAAACTTGATTTTTTTTGGTTTTATAATTTTTTGAAAGTAATTGTTCCGACTTTCGAAGAAAGTGCGGAAAGTTTATTCTTTGAGTGTTATTTTTTTAGCCATTTTCTTTTCTTTTTACTAATTGCGTTTTTCGGAAATTTTCATACCATCCGAAAAAAAAGTGTTGTCTTGAGCTCAAATTTTAAAATTTACTTGTGATCATTTTTTGTAGCGAGGTTTTAAAAATTGCTTAATTGGCAAATTTGGAATAATTAACGCGCAATAAACTGTGTTCTTTTAACACGCGTGAGCGACAAATTAATTCGTTTCAAATTGAAATGAAGCTATCAATTCAGTGCTATCAAGAAATGTATGAGACTCTGAATACATATTTCGTTTTGTGCATAGCGTGTGGGGGTAAAAAGAAGAAAAAACGAAGAAAAAAAATCTTTTGTTTCTTTTGTCGATTATATCGTTAACTATTCAATCAAAGAAAAATTTTATTTGACCTTAAAGTGCAATCTCAATATTAAGGGCTTTGCCCTGATATACGAGCAGTCTTGCTTATTTCTTATGAACAATGGTTGTTCTTTTTGCTCCGGTTTTTGAAGAAAAGCGGAACATTTTTAGGGTGATTTTTCTAGTCAGTTTAACTTTGGCGGTTGAAATCATAGCCTTTACTCGAAAATGGAAATATATCCCGTAGAAAGTATTGACTCTACTCCCTCAGTTCAAATGTAAAACAAACAAGACTGCTCATATCAGGGCGAAGCCCTGAATGTTCCGACTGCCTTTTAAGGTTTATGGAGCAGTAATAACATTTAAAAATTCAATGAAATAAAACAAAATGAAAAAAAATTCTAAATTTGCAATTGTTTATAAAAATCATCCCCCCACATGCCATATAAAGTACAAAAGGATAGATTTCGCTCGTTGTAACAAACCAATTATGGCAAATAAGCTTCTTTAGACCAATTTGGAACAATTTTTATGATGGATTAACTCTCCGCTTACGCGTTAATAGCGCGAAATGTATCGCGCGTTAATTGTCCCAAATTGGCCAAAATGACAATCTTTAAACCCCCGTAACTTTATGAAAAACGATCACAGGTGAAATATCTTTTCTAATTTGAGCTCAGGACAACAATACCTTTCGAATGATATAAAAAAACTTCCGTCAAAAACGGCTAGTTAAAAAGTCGAAGTTTGTCTGAAGAAAAAAACCCACCCCGAGCACAAATATTCCGTTACTTTCGTATCGAAAGTCGGAACAATTACCTTACATTCAATTGTTTTTTTCTAAACTTCTGGGGATTTGAAAATTCCCGATTCGACCTTGCTCTGTTCTAATTAATGCGCGCTGTGTAGATTCTTTTTATGATGTTAAAAGCGTAACGCGACTTATTTATGCATCATAAGCTATCCCTCATCACAGTGTTTCAAATTAAATTTTAGAGCGCTATTTGGTCGTGTTAATTTTGTATTGTTCAAAATATACAGTTTTTTTTTTAAATTTTTTTACCAACAATTATTCTGTGCCAATTAAGGGGCAATCGGAGCCTTATGTAGGTGTTTGCCTTGATAAACGAGCGCAGTCCTGTTTGAGAGCTAAGCCGCACTTGAAACAGCTTGTCATAAAATTCTTTTGTGAAACGGTTATAATTAGCACTTGTTAACTCTCCAAATATCCATTCATCTTTCTAAAGTTTTAGGTGTTTAATGGAGGTCTATGCAGCTCCGTTAAGCTTGACCATAAGGATTATTTGGAGATTTACACTCCATAAACATCAAAAAGATCAAATTCACACCACCTCGTCAGATTGCAGACGCTGTTCGTATTCTTAAACTCAAGCGACCTTCGTGATAGTTTTGCTTCGACATATCAAAATATTTCGACAAGTAACTCAGCATAAAAGCTCATTCATTCCAGAAACTGATTATATTTTACAGAAAAAATTTTTTAAGTATAGCCAGGGGCGGATCTAAGATTTTCTCGAGGGGAGTGGATTTAAAAAAAACTTTCAAAAATTTTGTCGACCTTTTTTTTAAGTCGACCGAATTGATTTTCCGAGCACTGCCAGAACACTAAAAAGACCCTATTTAAGAAAAAAGCAGGTCAAAAAGACATTTTTGGGCACTTTTTGGAAAGTTCAGACCAAAAATTGTGTTTTTTTTGTACCCGCTGCCCTTCAAAATTAGTATTTATTGGCGCCAAAGGCGCCTTTAGAAAGTTTTTAGGGTTGTTCGACTTAAAATGGATGTCATGAAATAATACCAAAGAATTAATATCCACCCCACCCTCCCCCCCTCCCTAAATCACCCCTAAAGTATAGCATTAAGACGAAGATTTTCAAAACAATTCACAAAAGAAAGGATCAAAATGTGAGTTGTTGTTGCAACCGTTGTTAAGTGTTAAGAGCTGCATGCAGTTTCCCTTCTTCCCCTCATTCAGATTTACCAGACGACACACTTGACAGGCACTTCCACAAACCACATGCCAATTAGGGAACTTCAACTCAATCATAAATGCCGACATTCGAGTCCAATGAAACTGCCAACTACAGACTATGCTACTCGGCTACCAAATCATAAATGCATTTTTGCCGCATTCTATCACTTATTGGCCTAATTGGCAATTTTAAACGACACATTCATTTATCAGAAAGAGTGCCCTACAGTTTATTTCCACGCCGTTGAGAATATTATACGCTTTATCGCCCTGTCACCCAACTCGTTTCCACTCGCATTGCAAAACAGAAAAGTTTTGGAACTCCGGAATCTAGCGGAAATTTTGGTTTCCAAGTCTTTCTCATATCCCAATAGGTTTTGAAAAACTTGCTCAACAATTGGCATACAGCTAAGAACTGATTTGTCGGAGGGGCAGTAAATATGGTAGATCGTTTTCACAAAAAAAAGACTTACTAAAATTTTTTTGGAATACGTTATTCAATCCCCAAAAAAAATAGAATTAAAATCTTATGATTTTGACAAGTCTTCTTTGTTTTCAAAAACCACAAACATTAAAAGCTGGCCACCCCAGCCATTCAATTCAAATAGCAATTTCCCAGAAGATCAACCCAAAGAAAAAATCCCTGGAGAAACATAAAATATAAAATTACAAAAATAATTTGTCATATTTTGTCATGTTTTGTCATTTTCTCTGTTGTCAACAAAAACTGGTTACTTTTGAGATCCCACGATTTTAGGAATTTGTTTTAAAACAATTGGAACAAAATTACTCAAAAAATTAGTGAAAAATTATTCCCTAGTGATATTGGTTCCAGCCACTGAAAAGCAACAAGTAATATAAAGAAAAACAAGACTGCTCGTATCAGGTCGAGGCCCTGAATGTTCCGACTGCCTTTTAAGGTTTATGGAGCAGTAATAACATAACTATCTTTAATATATTAAATGTAATAAGACAAAATGAATTTTTTTTCCTAAAAGTTGAAACTTTTCTACGAAAATCATCCCCATATAAACGCCATATAAAGTACAAAAGAATAGATTTAGCTCCTTGTAACAAATCAATTATGGCCAACTAGCTTCTTTGAACCAATTTGGAACGATTTCTGAGACGGATTAAATCTCCGCATACGCGTTAATAGCGCGAAATATATCGCGCGTTAATTGTCCCAAATTGGCCAAAATACCAATCTTTAAACCCCCATAACTTTACTATAAATGATCACAGCTGAAATGTTTTTCAAATTTAAGCTCAGGACAATAATACCTTTTGAATGATATAAAAAGTCCGTTAAAAATGTTTAGATAAAAAGTCAAATTTTGTCTGAAGAAAACACCCACCCCGAGCACAAATATTCTGTTACGTTCGTATCGAAAGTCGGAACAATAATCTATTATAATCGATTAAAAATGGATTATAAGTAACCAACAATTCTTTCATTTTTATATTTAAACATTCGATTCAAATTGATTGTAACCAATTCCATAGAGATTTTATTGCTTAGAAAAATAGTAATAGATAGCCTAAATTTCATAGTTTGCCAATATTCCAATTACCAAAAA